TGGGTGACCCCGCCGGCGGAGCCGCTGTCAGGGCCGATTCTCGTCAGAGCCGCCGGCCACAAGGCCTCATTGTGCCGGGCTGCGCGGCGCTGGCTTCCCAGCCCTGCCCGCTCCCGCCCCGCCGCTGCCCCCCTCCACGGGGGCTCCTCCCCCTGGCCTCTGGCTCCTGCTCCTCCGGGCTGCCCAGGCGTCCCTGGACGGTGGCAAGGGGGATGGCACCCCCAGCCGGGGATGGGACATAGGACCCCCAGACAGAGATGGGACAGGGGAAACCTGGCCGGGGTTGGGGCATGGGACCCCCAGCCATGGATGGGGCACAGGACCCCCAGCCAGGGACCTTTCCTCCCCCTCAGTGATGCCCACAGGGGCTCAGCGCTGGAAATGCTCAGCCTCCTGAGCCCCCTCCGAGCCCCCCAAACCACCCGAGCCGGGGTCGTGGCACACGTCGGCTTGCGCTTTAATACCTTTTTCAATATTATTTTGATAACACCTTTTCAAATGCCACTAGCCAGGCTGAACCACCAGGTATTTGGTGCCCCCGCTGAACCGTAACACGCTTTTACTTGCCAAGAAACCATTTCCAAAGAGTGCTGGGGGCTTCGGAGTTTAATTTAAAGAAAAAATAAAAAAATATATGTGTATAAAATGATCTGGTTGTGATAAGGTCCTGCCTGTGAGCTCGCGGCTGTGAGCCTGCCTGGTGGGTTCAATACGCAACACGTTTTCCCTTGAGAAGAGTTCGATGCTTTTTTTTTAATGCTTTACTGCCAAAGGGCTGGTGCTCATTTTGGGGCCAGGCAGGGCCCAAGGGCAGGATCCGGCCCTGGGGGAGGCAGGATGCCCCCTGCCGGGCTCTCAAGGATGCCAGCACCCCACCCCCCCCCCCCCCCCCCTGGATTTTGGCAGCGGGCAGGAGCCGAGCAAGGCAGGGGGAAGGGGGAAGGAGTGGGAAACCCAGCGGAGGAGGAAAAATGAGGCTGGAAAAGCAATAAATGAGGTGCAAAGGGAATTGCGCTGCCCACGGCATCCTCTGTACGCCCCACGGATAGAGCACGGCTGCTCCGACCCCGCTGCAATCCAGCGCATTCCTCTCGGCTAAATTATGCCATTTAATGTGCCGAGCATCCGGCGGTTTTCTGTCCAGCAGCAGAATCTCTTGTTTTTCTTCAAATCTGTTTATTTGGCCAAACCAGCTCATTCTGCTGCGGCGGAAAGGCTGTTATCCTGCTCATTCTCCGCCGCAGAGGTTTTTCGAGGTGTTTTCGGTGCCCTCTGCCCTGTGTCAGGTTGGGTCGGCCGCCCTCGCTTCCCGCGGCTGCCGGCTCCCGCAGCGGCTGGGCTGCGGCCAGGGTGCAAACGCTTCCTTACGGGACCGTCCCACAGGGGGACCAGGCAGCCGGTGCCTCAGTTTCCCCACTGTAGGATGGGGATAACGGCCCTTCCCCGTTCCTCGGGGATGCTGTGGCACCAAGGCAGCATCCCGTGGCCCCGGCATCCCCACCTCCCCGGGGCCAGCCAGCCGAACGTCTCCCCAAAAGCAGAGTCTGGCTCCGGCCAAGCCAAATTCCTGCCCGGCCCCTCCTGCCTCTTGGCACGGAGGGTAAAAACGCCATAAGGCAAACTCCGTATTTCCTCTGCAGGATGGAGACCGCAGCGGGAGGCAGCTTAGCAGGGGCGGGGGGCAGGCCAGGGGCCGGCGGCTGGCCGGGGGCTGCTTTGAGCAGACCATTTGGGAGCTGGGGGGTCTCTGGAGGGGCAGCTGGAGCCCAGCCGGGCTCGGAGAGAGGGGTGGCGATGGCGAAGGGCTGCGGCGGCACCCTGCGAGCCCAGGGAAGGGTCTTCCCTGCGGGCATCGCGATGCCCACCTGGCACGGCTGTCTGCAGCATCCCCGGGGACGGTCCAGCTGGACCTGCTCCAAAAGCCCCCCCACTCACCCACCCGCCCCCTACGAGGGTGGGTTTGGGGATGCCATGGAGAGCAGCGCCCCAAAACCAGCTGCCTCGGTGGAAATGT